ACACTGTGCTCTTCCCATCATATTTAGTCACTGAAGCCCAGCTCTGTAAACTTGCATCCAACTCCCAAAGAGATGCGTGGGCAGAAGTGTGCCAAACCAATTCTGGCACAGGGACAGTCCCCAGTGTATCCATATGAGTGTCATCTCCCGGAAATTCTCAAAAGACCCAAGCATCGTCACCACTTGGAAGCTCAGGAGCCTAGAAAGCAGGTGAGAAGAAGGGTCAGGCAATGCCCAGCAGGCACCTCCAGACCTTCTAGCCCTCTCATCCCCACCCAAAGTCCTATTTCCCCAAAGCCTTTCCTTCTGCACTCTGCTTCCTCAGCCAAGCTCTCCCAAGGGCAAGCACCAAGCTGGAGGACACTGGAGGTGGCTTCCTGCCCCTCTGGCTTGAATTGTTTATTTCTTTCTGGAGGGAGAAAGTCACACAGCCTGTTTGTTTCCACAGCCTGGACGCTTGCGGAGCTAGACATATGGGCATCTTGTGCTCCGCATCTGTGTCATCAGCCACATTTTCTGTGGATGCTTGTGTGTGTGTGTGTGTGTGTGTGTGTGTGTGTGTGTGTGTGTGTTTGGGGTGGGTGCTGGGAACAAATGTGCATCTGTTAAATTTGACAATAAAGTCTTACAGGGAAGCTGCCAAGATGGGGTGGGGGAAAGCTATAGTCTTAAAAGGCGAGGCCAAAGCGCCCGGGCTCAGGTATTATGTCGAAAGAAGGTGAGGCGAGCAGCTGCTCCTTCTCTAAGGGGTGTGTATGGGAGTGAGGGTGCCTGTATGCCTGTGAAGAGTACACACCAACCTGCTCAACATATGTCGCCACAAATCACAGTATCTCTCCCTCCTCCCACCCCCCACTCCCTGCACAGCTCCTGGCCGAGTGTAGAGCAGAGAAGCGCTGAGAAGAGGCGCCTTTTCAACAGGTGTCTTGGTGCGCGCAATGCACCTTTTCACGCATTCACTCTTTGCTGCAGAAAGCGATAATGTGGACACTTTGTTTCCTGGCGCTGCGCACGAGCTGCGAACCCCCGGGGGAGGCGGCCCTAGGCAAGGAGGGGGATCTAGAAATAAAGACCTCGGGCGCTCCTGAGAGTAGGGGCCCTCTCCTGCCTTTGTTCGAAGACTCCCTGAACCGGAGCTCCCTCGTGCGCCCTAGTGGGGGCAGGGTAACATATGGCGCCCTCTCACCTACCCAAGAAAAGGAACCAGCCACCCATTCAAGGGCGCATGAGGTCCCTGGCCCCGGGGAGGGGGAACCTCTAAGGGAACGGTTTCTCTCCTAAAGCCCAGAGGAGCCTGCCTTATCTCTCCCCACCCAACCTCCACCATCCCTTCAGCTGGCTCAGCAGCTGGTGGGGAGCAGCGCGCTGGGCAGCACCAGCCTGCGGAAGCGCCCCAGCTCCTGGCAGATGAAATATGGGGCTGCTGAGCCCCTGGAGACCATATGCTTTCAATAAAAGAAGACAAATAGGACCGAGATAGGCCTTGCAGCCAACCTGTTATAAATGAGTGGCAATTGGGCCAATGTACACCGGGGCAGGGCCCCCGGGGGGGAGGCCAGCTCGGTGCCAAATCCATGTGTCAGCTTCTGGGACAGGTGTGTCCAGAGGCCAGGGGCCAGATCTCCCCCCCCTCCGGGTTTATCACAGCAAAGGTAATATTGTGCTAACTATGAGTAAACAGTCATTGTGAAAACGAGGGAGAGTTTATCAGAGGCAAACTAGTTGGGGGGTGGCTTAACAATAAAGTTGTCCGCCTTGGGAGCAGGTGACGGCTGGCTGCACTGACTCCCGCGGTAGATGTTTTCCAAAGCACTCCACTTTACAATCTCTTGTAATTATTTATTAAACGAAATCTATTTATTATTATTTTAGCAAACACTGGAGACAGGTGGGGCTTTCTTTTCGTCCTCTCCTTTTGTTTGAAGGGCTGTTTGAAGTGGCCAGTCTCAGCCCAGGCAGCTCGCTCGCCAGATTTTTGTCTTCCCCTCTTTCAGTGCAGAAGTGAAGGCGAGAGAAAGAAGCCCCCTCCTCTGGCAAGCCATTAGCTATTCAGCTTCCCCCGACCCCCCCTCCTGGGTCGATTCTTAAAGAGCCCCCAGGCAATGCTAAGATCCCCCCGCCCACAGGCAAGCGTCAGGACCAGCCCCTGCCTTCCTTCTCCAGTTTGCCAAAGGACTCCAGGCGTCTGGCTGTCGCCTCTGTTTGGACTCCCTCAGTCTTCAAGCTAGCGTAGGTCCCAGAAGGCCCAGGAGCACCGGGGTACAAGGGACCTTAGAGCCGGTGAATGACTCGGGTTTGTAGGCACAGGCTGTGATCCCATCGGGAAGAGCTTTCACAAACACAACTAGTGCGCACCGCGCAGGGAAAGCCTGCGCCTCCGCCGCCAAAGCACAGAAACTAACTTTGGAGAGGCAGTCAGTGCCTGTGCTGCAGCTAGATACCGGGTATGGATTCGCTGTCTCTAAGCCACTGAGTCACCTTGAACATCCGGCCTCCGGGCCAGAAGCAGAGCCGCGGAAAGTTCTTTGCGTCTGGCAAGAGCAGCTTCTCCGCCGCTGCGCGCTCCTCGCCCAGACCGCTTTTTGCGCAAAGAAGGTGGCGGGAGCTGCAGAGCCCTGGAGGCCTCTGAGCCGGCGCAGTGTTGGGGAGCCTGGATAAGAATTCCAAGCGAGTCCCAGAATTCGCTGCCAAATAAGAAAATCTGGCAAAATTTTCCAGATTGATCCCTGGCACAAGAAGCTGGCCCTGCGCTCTGGTCAGTACCCACTAGTTTTTCAAAGCAGAGTCTAACCAGGGCAAGCCTCATCAACACTCGAGATTCATACCCAAATGAGAGTCACCTCAGTGGGCTATTTTCCAGGTTTCCAGGATATCAGAGAGATGCTTGGCTTCCTCAGCCAGGGGTCTCTCAACAGAGTCCTGATAGACCCCAGGCCCCTAGGAAAGCATGTTTTGAGATTCCTTTCCCAATTTCTACTGAGCAGGGGTATAAATGAAGCAAGGCCTGAGTGTGGAAGACAGAAGTGCAAAGATGGAATGTGAATAAAAGCAGCTGCCCCTGCCTGGGAGTCCGGACGGTTTCTCCGTTTCTCATCTGACCTTATTATTCCTCGGGTTCAGGATTGCTGTTTTCTGCATTTGGGAGTCTCTAGCTTTACCCTAAAGCCAAGCAGCAGGTTCATGTGAAAAGCTAGACCTAGGAGTCTTTGGATCTGAATGCCACGAGGTCTGATAGCACTTGCAATGCAGCCTTGGGCAATCACTTTTTCTTCACTTTTCCCCCTGTAAAGAGGGCAGGCACTGTTAAGCCTAGAAGACAAGCTTGGAGCCAGTCCTGACATAAGGGAAGAACTCAGCAAAATAGGGGACCCAAGAATCATGTGAACAAGGTGTTTGTTGATCCTGACCTTGACCCCAGACTTCATTTCCAGGGAGTCAAGAAAGGATCCTCTGCTTACAGCTATAAACTGAGATCCATAGGATGGTACCCCCATCCTAACACAGTCCTAGAGGCTCCTCCCACTGGTTCCCAAATATAGCATCTTTTGCCTGGGATGGAGTTTTGGCTCCAAAACATACTGAGTGATGAGGCCATGGCCAACACAGAATCACAGACATACCAAACATACCTGGCCCCCTACCTTATTCCCTTAGTCTCCTAAGGGGCTGGGTCTGGCCCCTCCTGCAGTTGCATGGAGGGTTGAAGTATCTAGAACTATTAAAAAGCAAATTTTTCTGCTTAGGCAGACTTATCCCTGGTCTCCACTTCTTCCCCCAAACACAAACCCCCTATGAGGGATGGGGAAGCTACAACCTTTCACCCTGAGTGACCAGAAGCAGAAGACTCAGGGGTGTCTGAGGCTGTGAAGGAGGGGTTGGTATATTTGGACTCACTTGAAAAGATTTCCAGGCAATGTTAAAAGGGTCAAAGTGGGACCTTGAAGAGTGCCTGTCCTGTGCTGCCCCAGAGAACCCCAGTGGCGCCCAGGCAGGGGGCTGAGCCAGCTGAAGCCTAGCAGCCCTTTCTCTCCTGTGATTAGATGGGAGAACTGAGGAGAGAGAGTTGATCTACACCAGCCCACTGTGAGTGTTCAAAAGGCACAAGGGCTTGCTGTGAACTTCTGGCTCCCTGCTGACCCCTCACACCTCCCCAGGTCTCCCCACCCAGGCCCTGCCTCAATACTAGGAAGCTGGCCTTGGCTGGCAAGGCCAGAATGCCTCTGGAGTGCACGACAGCCACCTGGACCTCAAATGTCTTAGGTTTGGAATGGGGATAGATGGGGTCCTAAGTACCTGGGGAGTGAGCAAGCATCTCAAGGGGGGACTTGGACTTGAACAGAAGGAACACAGGCAGATTGAGGTTGTCTTTCTGAATTTGCCATGTCCTCTCTTCCAGAATGGAGTCAGTGAAACACGATCCCACATATTTCATAATTTGACCCACAGCAAAGGTCATGTGGCCTTTAGATTTAGTGGTCACTTCTCTACACTGCTAGTCGGAACTCTGGCTCCTTGTGCTGTTTCTGCCACGGTCTTGCCTGCTGATATGGAGTGAGCTGCTTTCCCGTCTGAACCTACATTTCCAGCGTGTAACATTCAGGCTTTGACTCCTACAAACTCCCCAAAAACCCCTCCTGAGTACCAAGAGAGATCGGGATAGGCGCCTGGTAAAGATGGGAAGGTGCAAAGCGGTCCTGGGCAGCCAGACGCGCGCCAGACGGGGCTCTTCTCACTGGGCGAGGCTCTTTGAAGAACCGAGAGTTGCTGGGACTGAGCCCAGGGGACTGAGCAAACAGAGCGGAGCTCGCCTCCCCCGACCCTGGCCCTTTGTCCGGAATCCAGCTGTGCTTCGCAGGGGAGGAGCAGGCTCGCGTGGCGAGGCCCAGGGGCCCAGAAGCTGATTGGCCAGCGGCTCGGGCAGCAGCCGGGCAGCCACGCTCCTAGCCCGCGGAGAGCAGATAAAGCGTGCCAAGGGGCACACGACTTGTGGCTCCGGAAATCCCTGTGATCTCAGCCTCGTGCCGAGAGAGCTGCAGAGGTCCGGGACCCCTTCGTGCTGCTCTTCTCCTCCGGTCTGAGACAACTCCCAGGCAGGGGCGCTTTCGCCTTGGCACAATTTGTGAGCGGGCAAGCGCGACCCAGCTCCCCGCTGCTATCTGAGAAGCACTCTCCATTCTTTGCGCCCCGATTAATAGGTAACAACTGGCGGCGGACAAGGGAAAGGGGTCTTTGGAGCAGGGGAGGCGGGTTTTCCTCCCTGACCTTGGAACTGAGGACAGTCTAGGTTAACTGATCTTTGCTCACCCTGTCTTTTAACTCACCTCAGGATGCCGCCTCATCCCCTGGGTGCGCCCCCTATGCAAGTGACCCTGGAGACCGAGCAGCCCTTCCCCGGAGCCTCAGACAACGGAATACCGAGCTGCGCGTCCGCCCCACCCAGCCCCACACTCTTGTCCCGGGACCGTGCGGAGCCAGAGGCAGGTGGCTGCCGAGGGCCTGCGAGGAAGCTGCGCGCGCGGCGCGGAGGGCGCAGCCGGCCCAAGAGCGAGTTGGCGCTGAGCAAGCAGAGACGCAATCGGCGCAAGAAGGCCAACGACCGCGAGCGCAATCGGATGCACAACCTCAACTCCGCGCTGGACGCGCTGCGCGGTGTCCTGCCCACCTTCCCAGACGATGCGAAGCTCACCAAGATCGAGACGCTGCGCTTCGCACACAACTACATCTGGGCACTGACTCAGACGCTGCGCATAGCGGACCACAGCTTCTACGGGTCAGAGCTGCCCGTGGCATCCTGCGGGGAGCTGGGCAGCGCGGACGGCGGCTCCCCGGGTGACTGGGGCTCCCTCTACTCTCCGGTTTCCCACGCTGGCAGCCTGAGCCCCGCCGCCTCGCTAGAAGAGCCCCACGGGCTTAGGGCGCCTACTTCCCCCGCCTGCCTGCATCCCGGCGCCCTGGCCTTCTCAGACTTCCTGTAAGGGGTCCATCTGTCTCTGGGTTGTGGGTACGAAAGGGGGGAGGGAGCCAGAGCTGTCGGGGGTGGGCGCCTCTTCCTGCCTCTCACTGGCTGATCTCTGCAGGTCTTTCCCTCTGCAGCCTTCGGCGCTGCCCGAGGGGAGAGGGTAGTGCAGCTTGCGCATACTTTCTGTCTGCAGTCTTTGGCCACTCCTAAATCTCTTTCAAGGAAGACGACTATGGCAGCAATGCACAACGGAGTCGGCCTCGGCCTTCTGTCTCCCAGCCCTCACTTATGTCTGTCAGTCTGCCTGTCCCTTACCACCCCTCCCCTGTGTGAGTGAACCCGGTGTTTGGTTTCTCCGCGCTTGCTCCCTTGTCCTACTCCAGAGACGCCACTGACCTCCTCTCTACCCTCTGTGAAGTCTGGGTTTCGGGCTGTTGCATTCTGCCTTAATCCACGAAGGCGAACCTCTGCCTTCTCCTCCTGCACTTTTCGGAGCCATTGCCCTCCCCGAAACCGAAGAGCAGGCTGCGTTTTGGGAAATCGCTAGCCGACCTCCCTCCGCTTCCCTGCGCCCTGCGGTGGCAGGTGCCTGGAGCTCCGCTCGCCTCTTTACCAAGAATCAACTTGTAAACTATATATCTTTTGAAATGAATTTTGTTACGGTAAATTATATGCCCCCTCCCCAGCTTTTACATTTGTATTTATTGATGAGATTTCATGGTGGGAAAATTCTATATTTTGTACATAAATTATTGGGCACTGGTGAATGAGATTCTGAACCAATAAACGATGGACCCTTAAGAATCCTCATTAAGATGACAATGGTGCTGCAGAAGGTTGCAACTGCTACAGTTGCGGGGGGGGGGCACGTCTGCTGAAGGAAGGAGATGAGGCTGAAGGGGGTCTTGTCCCATCCCTTCAGTGCCAAGCAACAGGCGGTGGATTGCATTCTGAAGCGTCCTAAATCATTGGCCCAGCCCTCTTGTTTTCTTTATATGGTAGCTACTTGCCTTATTCTAAACAATAATGTAGAAGAAAGATCTTCAGCTGAGAGTCCAGACTCTTTCTTCTACTCTATCAGCCTGCATTTAGGGGAAGGAGGTAGTAATCAGACACAAAGTTAGAGTGCTGGGCTTTCCAGAACTTCCCTTAAGTGCTTAGAGACCAGTGCATCACCTGAAGTGCACTTTACACACTTAGTGTTGGAGTGGCAGTACCTTGGTTCTTGCAGCTTAGCAGCTGGCCAAAGCTGGGAGTTCAGCAGGACACTCCTCACCTCCCCTGGCCAATCCTGCAGCCTTGATTGAAAATTCATGAGAAAAGTGTTCTGAGTTTCCAACTATGTGGTCACTCTTACTCCTCAGGAGGAACTGGGCTGGTTCCCAATGGGCACTGAAACCCATCCCAAGGTGGCCAGTGGCCGGGAAGGGTATCTCTAGGGTCTCAAGGAACCCTGTCTGAGCTATAAGAACCTGCAGTGCACCAGCTGCTTGTAAACAGGGAAATGGAAGATAAAAACCTGACCTGCTAGTTCAACACCGGAAACCTACATCAGTCCCAGGTGCTGGAAAAGAATGTGTCACCCATGGGAAAGTGGGGCCGGGGCCAGGAGCTCTGCACAGGTTGTTATCCTGCACACCAGAGTGCTTGAGGTGGGTTTTCAGGAGTTAAGGCCCCTTTCTCTCCCTTCCTCTCTCTGTCTCTTCCTCCTTCCCTCCAATTCTCCCTCCCTCTCTTCTCTCCTACTTCAAACTGGATTTTTCCTTTCCTCAGTTCCCAAGTCCCTAAAGGTAATTTGGAGGAGCTATGTGTTAGTAATCAGAGGCAGGATTTGAGGGCAAAAGTGGGGACACGGCAAGCAAGTGAATGAACAGAGGGTTTCAAGGCTTAAATTTGGGAGGCTTTAGTTGAAGGCTTTAATCTGGGAGGAGGAGATTAAGGGGTTATTGGAGACTCTGCAACAAACAACTTTCCACCTGGGACCCTGCCTGGGGCAGGTGTGGACAGCTCTGTGTTGCACATACCAGGCAAACGCCAGCTACTTGCTGCACCCTGAGGGAAAGGATGTAGACAGACCTAAAAGAAGGTGGCGTGGACACAAAATTACTTAAGACAAAAGAAATACTGATGTTTAGTGGAAGTAAAAGCCACAAATCCACAAATTACCTGGGTCTGGATTACAGTAGGTTTGCCAGAGGGGAGTAGCCTTTGGCCCTGGACTACAAGTCCGGAGAGGAATTCTTCAGCAGGAAGACCCTTCTTCCGGCGCAAGGCTGTGGGAGACAGCTTCCTTGGGGGACCGGGTCCTTGGTCTGAAGGATCCTCTGAAGCTGGATGAGCATCTACAGGCACTGTGATCTCCGTGGCTGAAAGCGGAGGAGCCGAGACACCCACTGGCCGGTCAGTCCCTCTCCCGCTTTCCAGGGCGCTCATTAAGGAGCCATTACTCACCCAGCGGGCACAGACTGGTCCTCCGCCCCACGAATTAAAACACACATAGGATTTAACTAACCCAGCTGCTACGCGGAGTCCAGAGTGAATTGTCAGCCCTGTCCTCCAAGTCAGGAGAAGATGGAGGAAGGGAAAGAGTTTGGTTTGTTTAATAACTGCAAAGTTTAGGACTTGGAGCTCGGGATGAGTTCCATCAAACTCTGCGAAAGCGTGTGAAACAGCGCTGAGGTAGGGAGTGTCCACCCAAGGCCCTTCAGCGAGCAGGGATCCGAACATTGCTGGGAGAGGCGTGAGCAACCAGCCCCGCGAGGGTTTTACATTCGGCGACTTTTAAAACCACTGCTGCGGCGCGAGGGTTGGGCTGCAGCTCTCGCAGGCTCCCTCGGCCCGCGCTGCTTTGCTTTAGAGGCCTCCTGCAGTCTGAGAACGCCGCCCCCGAAACAGCTCACTGAAACGGGGATTGGATCCCAAGCAGGGACAGGAAAGACTGTTGGGCCAAAGACTCTTCCTCCTCTTATGCCTTTGTCTGAGCCCAAGCCTGGCTTGCAGAAAAACGGCACATGAATCCTGCGCCTGCCCGCACCGACACCACCACCCCCGCCCCGTCCGCGCACACACACGCAGGTAGATTTATGGTGCCCTGCCCCCATCCCACCCCACCCCCTAGCAAGCTGCGAGCGGAGGACAAAGCGTCCCGGGGCCATTGGAATGCTAATGTCTGGGAGCCAAGCCGCAGGGCTGGCACAAAGGCAGGCGAGGCCCGGACCAACCCTCCCCCAACTGGGCTGTAAACTGTGTGACCTTGGACGAGTCTCCGAGCTTCAGTAGAGGCTCGAAAACTCTTTCGCAGGATTTTTGAGTCCCTGAAAGAAGGTCTTGCCTGTAGTTAAGGGAAGTCAAAGTATCGGAAACGATGGAGGAAGCCCTTCACACCTGGGCATGGGGAATACTGTGCAGGGGATGAGTCCACTGCGAAGGAGGCGCAAAATAAGCTCTGGGTAAATGTAATTACATCTTTGCATTCATGGAATTAACATTCTCGGTTGTGTACCTTTTCCCTTGTCCCTTTTTAAATCTCTAGACCAGAACTCAAAAGCGGGGGGTGGGGGGACCGAGCGTTTTCAAGAAGCCAGGTGCAGAGGGCAGCGTGAGACCAGACGCTTCCCATCGCAGGTTCCCTCCAACAGCCAGTGAGGTAGCCAAGGCAGAGTGGCTGCATTCACAACAGGGCTCAGAGTCCTAGACGCAGGTTACCTGCCCAAGGCCCTCGGTCACTTGGAGAGTTGTGGAAGCAAACTACGGCTGGGATCCTAGTTCTCACTGGCAGTGTCTTTACTGTGTGGCCATAGATAGAAAGGGGCGGGGAGCGGGGAAGTGTGTCAGTCTGTAGTTTGTATCCACTTTGGCTGGAGCTGGGTCCTCTGCATTCTTGTAAAGCCAAAAAGTTCTCCAAGAGCTTTAGCTACATCCCCAGGGCGGGATGGGGGGCTCCTGGCCAACTCCAGCCTCTGTTCGCTGCCTGTGCGTCTGGGATCCGTGCCTGTGCGTCAGGACAACTAAGCGGGCGTCTTCCAGCAAACTCAGCCTGGTAAGTCCTCTGAGGTCTGGAAAGGCTTCCGCGCGCCCCTGACCATGGTGCTGAAATGGCCGTGGTGATCCGGCACGGAAGACGCGCCCAGGAGCTTGCCTTTCTCAGTAAGGGAAACCTCTATTTCTTCTGTTCAGGATTAAAGACTGGGGGCCCCGGTGGACGTGAAGACCCAAAGATCATGGGCTGTGTGTCTGCTCACTGGCTGGGACACCCTCTCTTGAAAAGATCAAAGGCTGAATGACGTTAGAAACTTGGACTAGAGCGACTTCAAGTAGAAAAGCTGCTTTGGAAGTTTGCGCTCAACAGGGATTTCATTCTTTGAGCCTCAGCAAAGGTTTAGTAATTCCAAGAATGAAAGGCAAAAAAATCTCCCATATGTACGCGTCGAAGAGGAGAGTGGTTAAAAACAGCTATTTTAGAATCACACATGTCAGTTGCAATCCTGGTGTTGCCATTCTGCAGTGGTTTTCAGTTAGAGCCCCTTTTGTCTCTCTAAGGCCTGTTTTCCTCACTGTGAAGTCAGAACAGTAAATAGTAGCCACCTAACAAAGCTGTTGTACTGCTTAAATATAATTGCTTAGTACTCTAAGCCTCTTTAAACGGCACTTATTATTTTATTAGCATCATTATTTGCCTCCAATTCCTCTCCCATCCCCTCCTCCATTAGGGAAGGACTTTTGTAAGAATTCAAATTTGTTCTACAAATTCCTGTGTGTTGTACGCTGGCCTAAAGGGCTATCTATCTCTTCCTGCTAACCCTCTCCAACTTAGATCTACCCTCCCTAGACTCCAGAATTACATGGCCAGCTATCTCTTAGGTACTCTAGATGATATGTCCAAAATTAAATTCTTCTCCTTTACTCCCCAAATTACTGTTGCCTCTTATTCCTAATCTCATTTATTCATCCACATTGCAAATCTAGGGTTCATTTGGACTCTTCTCTCTGACTACCACTATCTAGTCCTAAAGCCCTGATGATTTCTCCTTCTTACTTTTTCTACAATGTGCCCTCTCTTTCATCTCTTTATGACCATTATTTTAGTTTAACTCTTATACCTCATTTGAAAAAATCACTTAACTAATGTTGACACTCTACTGTATCCTCCTGCTGCAGCCAGAGGTCCCATTCAAACGCAAACATAACCCTGTCATTCTCTTGTTCAAGTGGTTACCAGTTACCCATAGGTTAATGTTCATATTCTAATAGATAAGGATGGTTTGATGGAATCTATGAATTTACAATTTCCACAGTGAGATCACATGTGGTATCTTAAACTTTCAGTTTTTCCTTCTGCAAAGTGAGGGTATTAATATTGTCTTGTAAGTTCAGATGAGGATGAAGCTGGGTTACTCTAACAAGACTCACCAAGATTTCAGTCTGAAGTGAGCACACCTTGTGGGTGGGTAGTCCTGCTCCTTGTCATCGTTCAGAGACTCTGGCTTTTTTCATCTTATTCCATCAGCTCTTAATCCTTGCCAAACAAAAGGCTGAGGCTGCATTGCATGAATACTGGCCAGTAGGAAAGGAAACTAAAGCACAGAGCACCACACCCAGTCTTAAAGTTTAGGCTCAGTGGAAGCACACATCACTTCTGCTCTCATCCCACAGGGAGAATGTAATCCTACAACTTTCCCTAACTAGATGAGAGGCTGCGCACTTAGGAAGAATTGAAGGTTAGATCCTGGTAGGCAATGAGCATTGTCTACTACTGGACTATAACCAGGATTAAATTGAATTGTACATGCTATTATTTTTTGTTTTACCATCATCATGGTTAAATCTTGTGTGTTTTGACCAGAATCCTGATGGACCAGCCTCTTTTCCACAGTGCTTTGTTTGCCTTAACATCTACACCCCAGAAATGTTA